CCTGTGTTGCTGAAGGAGCAGCAGCAAGCAGCATGAGAGGTCCAGCAGCAGTATGCAGCGGGGGTGCACCTCTGTCTCCTGCTGCTGCTGCTGCTGCTGCTGCTGCTGCTGCAGCTGCTGCTGCAGCTACGAGTGGGGGTGCTGGTGCAGCTAGTGGTATACCTCCTGCTGCAGTAGTTGTTACAGAGGAGACAGCTGCAGTGTCTCCTGTACATCAGCAGCCTATATACAAAGTAGATAGACATACTGCTATCATCCCTGCTCATAGCTTCTCGCCTCGCTTTATTTTCTTAGGGGAGCAGTGGCTGCCCTCTCCAACAGAGACGCATGCAGAGCAGCAGCACGAAGTTTATCTAGTAGAGAAAGCTAGATTAAGTAGGAGAGACCCTCAAAAGAGACAGGCATACACATCTCAGGTGTATGCGCAGGTAGCTGCACATACACCCCAATTCGACAAAATCTTGCTCAGTAGCCCTAAAGCAAATGAAGTAAACAGCAGCACTAACTGCAGCAGCAGCACAAGCATCAGCAGCAGCACTAGGCTTCGTCTTCAGTCTCTAGCACTTAGAGAGCTGCTACCCTCTCTTTCTCTTTCTACCTGTGCTACGCATGTGCAGCACCTTCAATATAGCTTAGTTGATTATAAACTTCAGTCTCTAAGAAACATAAATACAGAGACTCTAAAGGAGACAGTTGGGGCCCCCTGCAGCCAGCCGATATATTTGCTGCTGCGGGTATATGAATGCACAAAGCTGCCCGATATGTCTCCTCTCCCTAGTCCTAGAGCTGCAGCAGCAGCAGCAGCAGCAGCAGAAGCGGCTGCTGCAGCAGCAGCAGCAGCAGCACCCGCAGCAGCAGCAGCAGCAGCAGCAGGCGCTGCAGCAGCAGGGGCTCCACCGCCTGCAGCAGCAGCAGCAGCAGCCCCTGCAGCAGCAGCAGCAGCTGCAGCAGCAGCAGCAGCAGCAGCACAACCTTATGAAGCTTGCGGGCCTGAAGCAATAGAAGAAGATGTTGAGGGGTGGGCAATACTTTATGAAGCCCCACCCATAGAGCTCGGAGACAGAAGCAAAGTGTCTCTAAACAGCATCAGGCTGCATGAAGGCTCTCGCTTTTATTATAAACACCAAGTCGCACCTTATAAACCCTCGCTGCAGCATAAACAAACAAACCTGCCGCCTCCTCTACCCGAAGGAACCGCAGTAATTCATACGCCTTCACCCTAGTGCTGCTGCTGCTGCTGCTGCTGATGCTGATGCTAGTGCTGCTGCTGCTGATGCTGATGCTAGTGCTGCTGATGCTGCTGCTGATGCTGATGCTAGTGTTACTGATGCTGCTGCTGATGCTGATGCTTGTGCTGCTGATGCTGCTGCTAATGCTGCTGATGCTGCTGATGCTTGTGCTGCCGATGCTGCTGCTAGTGCTGCTGCTAGTTCTTGTGCTGCTGAAGCTTGTGCTGCTGATGCTGCTAGGGCTGCTGCTGGTAGTGCTGGTGCTTCTAATGCTGCTCCCTTAAGTACTGCTGCTGCTGCGAGTGCTGCTGCTGCTAGTGCTGCTGCTGCTGCTGCTGCCAATTTTGCTGCTGCCAGTGCTGCTGCAGACACCTCTAGTGATACAGCACCCTCCATGCCTCCCCGCTGATCCCTAAACCCTAAACCCTAAACCCTGTCTTCTCAGGTGTTAGTTGAGACCCGCTGCAGCAACGGAGAGCCTCAGCTAGCGCGGGCAACCTTCGATGAAGCAGCAGCAAAAAGCATAAGAAGAAACCCTCAAGGGTCTCCTCTCTTTTCTACTTCTGTCGATATAGCAGCGAATACAGAGGCATATAGAGGTGACCTAAACCCTAAACCCTAAACCCTAAACCCTCAAGAGTCTCCTCTCTTTTCTACTTCTGTAGATATAGCGGCGAATACAGAGGCATACAGGGGTGAAATATTAACCCTAAACCCTAAACCCTAAACCCTAAACCCTAAACCCTAATTGTGAGGTGTGTGTGCAGACGGAAGTCGCGAATGTTTTCCCTATGACCCCCACAGACGTCTGCGTTTAGCAGGGAGGCCAATGGAGACAGCCGAAGCAACAACTGTCTCCTTTAAGCAGCAGATAAAGACAGAAGTGCTGCCTTCAAGGCGTCGATATCAGTGGGGGAGCACGGGGGGTGTCTCCTATGAGCAGCAGCAACAGCAGCAGCAGCAGCAGCAGCAGCATCAGCAAGGGTCTCCTTCCGGGTGTCTCCTTGGAGGGAAAAGGAGACAAGATGAAGGTGGCTGGTGGGGGGACAGCAGCGGGGAGAACCATCTGCAGCAGCAGCAGCAGCAGCAGCAGCACCAGCATGAGGAGGAGCTGTTATATTCAAGGAGATCGCTGCACTCTCCTTATATAGCAGCAAAGGAGACAGCATGCGACAGGTTTAGGTGGCTTTGCTTAAGACAAAAAGGCGTAGTATTTGAGAACAATATTTTATCTGTCTCTTGTTTAGTCGGCACGAGCAGCTACAGCACAACCCGCACGTTATATGCATCTATAGAGCTGAGTTTTGTAGCTAAGCAAGGGGCTCTTGCTGCAGCAGCAGCAGCAACAGGATCAGGATCAGGATCAGCAGCAGCAGCAGCAGCACCTACTGGCTTTCACTCTATTCGTAGCCGAGTAGAAGCTCGTGATAAAGAAGCTCTTCTCTGCTCTCTATCCCCGATAGTCAGGGCCCCTGGAGAGACAGCTAAAAGCTGTCCTAGAGCAATTCAAACAGTTGTTATATCTGTTATGAAGCCGTTCTTGTCTCCTCCAGAGCTGCTGCTAGATGTCTCCTTATACAGCGGAGAAGAGCAGCAAATAATCTTTGCTCTGCCTTTAGTGCTGCCTCACTTCATGAGGCCCCTCCAGCTGTCTCCTGCTGCTGCGCTGCAGCTGTGGCTGCATGAAAGCATGCATGCAAGGCTTAGCTCAATAAAACTATCTCCTTCTGTCTCTTCAGCTGGTTTAGCGTTTATTGAAGAAGTTATATCATTAGGAGGGAAGTTCGCAGTTATTAAGGGTATTAAACATAGATTAGCAGCAAACTCTATATTTGCTGCAGCAGAACTCTCTGCTATCGGAGACCTCCCAGCAGATTGTAAAGCTGTCGTTCGTTATACTGCTGCAGCAACTTCAGGTGTATCTGCAGCAGCAAAAATACAAGTTAAAGCGCAAGACCCCACAGTTGCTGCAAGCATCTATGAATTACTCATTTACCTTCTCGAAGGCTTTGAATAAAACAAACAGCAGCAACTGCTGCACACGTTGCTGCTGCTCGTATTCTTTATGCACCTGCTGCTGCAGCAGCTGCTGCTGCTGCAGCGGAAGAGGCAGGTGCTGCTGCTCAAGCAGCAGCAGTAGATGCTGGTGCTGCTGCAACAGCATATGCTGCTGCTGATGCTGCAGCAGCAACAGATGGAGTTGTGGTTGCTGCAGCAGCAACACCACCTACAGCAGCAGCGGAAGCATCAACCAACAGCTCAAATAGCAGCAGATGCTGCAGTAGCAGCAGACACTGCAGCAGCAGCTCACGCTGCAGCATCTACAACAGCAGCAGCTCAAGCAGCAGCGTCAGCTGAGCAGCAGCAGTTAAAGCAGCAACAGCAGCAGATGCTGCAGCTCCAGTATCAGCTGCAGCCTCCTCACCAAGCTAATGTAGCGAAATGAACTGCTGCTGCAGCAGGAAATGCAGCAGCAGCAAAGGCAGCAGCAGTATCGATCGTACCAGGCGAAGCAGCAGCAGGCGCAGCAGCTGAAGCAACAGCGGCTAGAGCAGCAGCAGCAACAGCAGCTAAGGCAGCAGCAGCCGGCGCTGCAGCAGAAACAGTAGATGCAGCCAAAGCCCCAGCAGCTGCAGTTCCCGCAGCAACAACAAAACAGCAGCAGCAGCAGCAGCAGCAAAAGCAGCAGCAACAACAGCAGGTCCTGTTCGTTTCTTCAGCTGTGCTACTGCCTCATAATTTGTTTTTGTATTTGTTTGTTTTTGTCTCTCAAACAAAAGTAATGCCTTTTATACTTCATACGCGAGCACAGACAAAAGACAAAGAAACTCCTCTGCTGCAGTAGCAGCAGCAGTAGCAGCAGCAGTAGCACCAGCAGCAGTAGCACCAGCAGTAGCAGCAGCAGTAGCGGCAGCTGCAGTAGTAGTAGTAGTAGCAGCAGCAGCAGTAGCAGCAGCAGCAGCAGTAGCACCAGCAGTAGCAGCAGCAGTATCAGTTGCAGCAGTATCAGTAGCAGTAGCAGCAGCAGCAGCAGCAGCAGCAGCAGCAATGCAGGCGGGAGGCTCTTCGGGTGATTTCAGCAAATTGAGAAATAAATTTTGAGCCCCCAAAACAAAAAAAATTAAATGCAGAAAGGAGACAGAAAAATATAAAAGGAGACACAGAAAAATATAAAAGGAGACAGAAAAATATAAAAGGAGACAGACATAAAAGGAGACAGAGACAAAAGGAGACAGAGAAAAATATAAAATGAGACAGAGAAATATAAAAGGAGACAGACATAAAAGCTGACAGAGATAAAAGGAGAAGAAGACAGAGGTAAAGGAGACAGAAAAAAACATAAAACGAGACAGAGACAGAGATAGAAGGAGACAAAAAAATTAATAAGACGAGATAAGGAGAGATAAAAAGAGAGATAGATAAGTATATAAGAAATAAAGAGAGACAAAAAGAGATAAGAAGAGACAAAAGGAGACAAAGAGATGTATTAATGAAACAAAAAAATATTAAAAAGACAAACAGAGACGAAAGGAGACACACAGACAGAAAAGGAGACAGAGACAGAGATAAAAGAGGCAGAAAGAGATTAAAAAGAAAAATATAGCATGAGACAGAGACAGAGATAAAAGGAGACAGAGACAGAGATAAACAGAGACAAAAAGAGATAAGGAGACAGAAAGAGAAATGCAAACAGAAGCAGAGAGAGACAGAAAGAAAGAGACAAACAAATATATTAGTTAAAGAGACAGAGGAGACAGAGGTATACAGAGACAAACAGAGAGAGACAAAAGGAGACAGAGGGAGACAAAAAGAAATAAACAAAGACGAAGAGAGACAGATATAAACAAAACGGAGACAGAGACAGAGAGAGACAGAGAGAGACAGAGAGAGACAGAGAGAGACAAAGAAAGAGATACAGAGAGAGAAAGATAAAAAAGAAAGAGACAGATGGAGAGAGAGACAGAGACAGATATATATATATATATATATATAGAGAGAGAGAGAGAGAGAGACAGAGACAGATAAAGAGACAGATAGAGAGACAGAGACAGAGACAGAGACAAAGAGACAGAGACAGATAGAGAGACAGACAGAGAGACAGAGACAGAGACAGAGACAGAGAC